AGGAAAAAAAAAATACGAGCAAAAAGAAGGAAAAAAAAAAACTTCCCATAACATATGTGAAAAGATACTTTCGTATCAGGAAGGATTCATTAATTTATCCTTAAGTACACCAAAATAAAAGCTGCTAATTTTTGAAAACCTTTCAAAGTTTTTAAATAATTTGATGGATATCAAATTGCAGTCAACTGTTCCATAATTTTCCTGTGGAATTTTTACTCCCTGTTAAAATTTTGGATAAAAAAAAAAAAAAAAAATAGGGAAGGGAATGACCTTTTCCGAAAAGTTGTTAATCGAGAAATCTACCATATTTCCTGATTGCTCTTCAATCATCTATCATAGAGTCTTCTAAATTTTTTTTTTTTCTTCATTTATTACTATTAAGATATGAATGTGTCACCTGACGGGCTAAGGAGGGGAAGACAAAAAAAAGAAAAAAAAAGGATGAATTCATGTTTAAAAATAAGGGAAAATTTGAAGTTGATAGAAACCATAAGAAATAGGTTGAGGGAAAGTCACATTTCAAGAATTCTCCGCTTTTCAGATTTTTCAAAATTAAACTTAACCGGAATTTCTCAGCTCGTTAAGTACTGTATAAGCATTTATCATACACTTCCCAACATGGTAACACTATTACTTCTACGCTAAATATTATCTTATGGTTTCATTTCATTACTTACAACAAAGTGAAATCTTCACTACAGTTACAACAGTTTCAATTTGAGTTACGGTCACTGTATAATTTATTGACATTTTAAACAAGAAATAACCGCGAAATTTTGGCGGATGCGGAAGAGTGCAAGTGGATCATCTGTACATTTAGTACATGTGGAAAGGCGGCAATAAAAATAGTTTTGTTGGATATTTTGATGACAGCAACGAGGACGATGACGGAGATGGCGGTAACGGTAGCGCATGATACGAGTGTCACAGTTACATCGGGACTATCGTTTCACCGCCACAGACGGCGACTTTATCAATTTTCTGTTGTATTAAATTTCCTCCATCGTATTTTTTTTCCTTTATTCGTTTTAGTAAGCAGAGGACGAAATTCTTTTTTCCTTCTTCAACAAATCATATGAATTGATGCGTAACGTCATCTATCTGTCATGATGATGTATCTAAGGTCCTAAAATAATATGGATGCGACCAAACTCAGATTAGAAATTAAAACAATGGCAACTTAATAAAGATGGGCAAATTTAATGAAATCCGGAAAAAAGGCTAGAGCTCTTATATTCTGATAGTATTTAAAGTGAATCTAGGCCTAACTAGGATTATATTCGTTCAAAATATCTTTATCTTTGAATTATTAGCAGAAATTGTATATTTCTTGTCAGAGCTGTCTACTTTCAACCTTCAGTTTGTTCCATTAACTGCTGATTGAAAAGTATTATTCCAGGTCTGGGCATATTCCAGTGCAACACTTTTTTACCTCCCGCCATATTATGCTTCTCGTTGTTTCATTCTGACTTCCTTAGGCTCATTCATTTTTTGTTCGAACTTGCGATCAAATCATTATAGTTTATTTGCAAGCTTGTAAGGAATTGGCCGTTTCAAAAATCCGAAAAGAAATAGAGCAATCGAGGTATAAACCAACATTTTGAAAGTAATATAGAAAAGACATCTCACTGTATCCCTCTCTTACCTTTCATTTCCTCAGTATTTTGTGATAGGCAAAACGGTGATAATTGAGAAGATAAACTAATCAGCATGACGTAAGTTCCGTCATGTCATTGCCAATTTTGCTTAAAAATAGGAGGAAAACTTGCACTACAATGATTCGTTTCCTCTCTCCATCTATGGTGACAGTTGAAGAAATGGTAAAAAGGGAATGTCGAAACCGGCTTTTGTTTCTACCACGCTCTCTTCCACGCCGTGCACATTTCTCTTTCCCATCCTGATGGTTGGTGCTGAGTTCGGGTGGTACCCAAATTTTCATCAAAATATTTCTCCTCCTCTCCCTCTAACTTGTTCAATATACTGTTGTTGTCATTATAGCAAGCATTCTGTCGAGGACTTTGTATTATTTAGGTGCGCTGGTACACCTTGGTTTGACATCAGCAACCAAATGTTGCAAAAGTGATTTTGTCCACGTTATCAGGTAACCTGGAAATGAGGTATCACGGAAAGTACTATCACAGTTGTGGTTTTTCCAATCGGGATCATATCTGATTCCGTCTCTGTTTTTTTCTCAAAATCAACCTTCTAATATCCCTTGGCAATTAGTATTGATCTACCCTTTATATTTCACGCAGTGTACATAGAAAAGACATACTTCCGCAACTTTTGCAAGTTCTTTCTACTTGACAAGGTGAATTTAGTTTTTAAAAAATTTATAAATTTATTCATTAATTAAAATAATCAGTTAGTTTTTAAAATCTAAAAAAGTTATATCTCTCCATGAGAAATTCTTTCAAAAATTTCATTTTTAGCTAAAAAGCTGCTTCTCCCACAGTGGTTAGAAAATGTTTTT